AGTTTGGTGACGTTTTTGTGCTCAGAAACATGCTGCAGGAACTTAACTCTTTTTTATGTCAGTCTATGGTAAAACCGGTTTTATTATACATTATTTCACTTAAAAGTGGCAGTTTCCAAGAACCTATCATTGATATTAAGTGAGAACTTACTGTACTTTCTCCCTGACATTTTTTTTTTTTTACTTCATCTCATTTTCATTCACTTGTTTTCTGCCATTTTCAGTGCTTTTTATTAAATTTTATTTGGACTTTATTCGCATTTGGATGCCTTGTAATTTATTTTTCATTTCTGAGGTAATAATTGCCTTCTTATTCCTTTTCTTTCTTAAGTTCAATGAACTTCCATTGCTTCTTCCCTCCCTCCATCCACATCCTTCTCCTCCTCTTAGTTTTTTGTCTTCTAATGCAGAGGGCACTTCCATGTACCCAGTTGCTTGTTATGTTTAATTTTGCTTTGAGTGTTGCAGTACTTTTCTACTTCATGGTTGTTGTTGTTTTGGGGTGGGGGTAGAATTTTCCTCAATTGATGTGTGTAGGTCTTCATTTTCTGTTACTTTGTAGTAAATTTGTATGGAACTGTTCATCTTTTTACTGTTTGTTTATTTTTTTTTTATTGTCTAAACTTTTACTAGGTCATATGTCTCCTTTTTCCCCAATTGACCCCCCACCCCCTCAGCCATTCCCACCCCGGGCAAGCCCCCACCGCCCCAGTGTCTGTGTCCATTGGTTAGGCTAATATGCATGCATACAAGTCCTTTGGTTGCTCCCTAATAATCACCCCCACCTCCCCTGCCATTTGTCTCTGGATCTATTTTTGTTCTTCAAATTATGTTGATCATCATATCACACATATGAGTGAGATCATGTGATAGTTATCTTTGTCCGACTGGATTTTTGTGGTATTATGATGTATTTTGTGAGACTCTGGTTCAGTACAGCCTTTGTAGAGCAAAGTCTAGGCACTTGTTGGTGTAAGGATATAAATAAATGGAACAGAATGGCAGATCCAGAAATAAGCCATTCCACTTATGGCCAATTGATTTTTGACAAAGATGCCACAGCAATTCAGTAGGGGAAATGAGTTTTTCAACAAATGGTACTGGGAAAATTGGATTTCCATGAACAAAATAATGAACTTAGATGCTTATATCACATTAAACATAAAAATGAACTCAAAATAGACTCAAACTACTAAAACTTCTAGGAGAAAACAAGAGACAAATTTTGTGTCTTTAGGTTAGAAAAAGAATATTTATATATAACACAAAAAGCACAACCAATGAAAGAAAAAATAGCTAAGTTGGGCTTTGACAAAATAAAATTTTGCACGTCAAAAGGCGCTGTTAGAAATGAAAGGGCAAGCCATAGACTGGGAGAAATTATTTACAAATTGTATATCTGATAAGGAACTTATGTTCAGAATATATAAAGAACTCTTTTAATTGAATAAGAAGAAGGCAACTCAATAAAAATGGACAAAAGTTTTGAATACATATTTCACCAAAGAAGATATACTAATGGCTAATCATCACATACAAATGCTCAACATCACTAGTAATTTGGGAAATACAATTAAAATCATAATGAGATACTACTCTACACCAACTAGAATCGTTATAAAAAACTGACAATACCAAGCATAGGTGAGGATGTAAAGAAACTGGAGCTCTCATACATTGTTGGTGGGTATGTAAAATGATACAATCACTTTGGAAAAACAATTGGGCAATTTCTTAAAACTAACAATATAAACTTACAATATAACCAGCATTTTCACTCCTAGATATCTGCCCAAGGGAAACAAAACATAAATCTATGCAAACACTTAGATGTGAATATTTACAGCAACATTATTCATAATAGCCAAAACCTGGAATTAATTCAAATATCAATCAGCTGATTAGTGGGTTTACAAAATGTGTTATATCAATGCAATATCATACGATTCAGCAATTAAAAAGGAATAAACTACGTGATGTGGCATGTATAAACCTCCAAAATATAATGCTAAGTGAAAGAAGCCCCCCCCCACACACACAAATTGTGAACTCCATGTATATAAAATTTCCAGATTGTATGATTTTCATTTATATAACATTTCTCTAAGACAGAAAGCATACCAATGATTGTCTTGGCTGGAGATGGGAGTGGGAATTGACTACAAATTGGCGCAAGGGAGCTATATGGGGTGATGGAAATGTTCTAAAACCACACAGTGGCCCTAGCCGGTTTGGCTCAGTGGATAGTGTCAGCCTGTGGACTCAAGGGTCCCGGGTTCGATTCCGGTCAAGGGCATGTACCTTGGTTGCGGGCACGTCCCCATTAGTGGGTGTGCAGGAGGCAGCTGATCGATGTTTCTCTCTCATAGATGTTTCTGACTCTCTATCCCTCTCCCTCTCTGTAAAAAATCAATAAAAAATATTAAAAAAACACAAAAAAACAAAAAACCCCCACACAGTGGTAGTAGTTGCAAATTTTATAAATTTACCATCCATTGCTGAATTGTATAATTACAATGGGTGAATTTTATGGTATATGTAAATTATACCTCAGTAAAATTGTTTTTTTTAAAGTAAATTGAGGAAGGACTTCAAAGTAGCTGAAGATATTAATAGTGGCTGCCTTCCTTTTCATCTCCCAATACTTCCCCTACAAACAATACAAAACAAAATAAAGGGAGAAATGAAACTTCCATGAAAACCACACTTCTGTCACCACTTGAAGATAGGATATCAAAAATCCAAAATACAGTGGGGCCTTGACTTACGAGTTTAATTCGTTCCGAGACCGAGCTCGTTAAGGAGCTCGTAAACTCAAATTATTCTATCAACTCAATGCAAAAAATCGGCCGAGAGACAGCTGGTATCTCAAAAAACTCGTCAGTCGGCACACTCGTAAGTCAAGGCCCCACTGTACTTGTAAATAGAATGGAAAAAACACCAAAGCCCAGTGTCTGATCTCTCCAACTCCGGTGTTCTTGCAGATCAGAGTATGGACTGCATGAAGGGCCTAAAATTAAAAGGGTCAGGTTTTTAGCTTCTGGGGAGGGGAGGTAGAAGGGTGGTCAAAGGCAAAAAGGGAGAGGCACCTTTGGTAACGGGGTGTGAAGGAGGAAATAAGTATAAGGGGAAATTTTAGGGTTCTGCAAAACAGAACCAAAAAGTGAGGTCATACAACTCCATCAGGAATGTGCAGAGTTTAATTAGCTCCTCTTTGGTTCTCTCATTTCCAGCATCTTCCTGTTCAATTTCTGGCTAGCCTGCCATTCTGGCACTTGACCTAATAAGTAGAACTGTGGCCTTCCCTGTTCATTCATTATCAAGTTTGTTACTTTTGCCCTGGCTGGTTTGGCTCCAGTGGTGGAGCATCAGCCTGTGGACTGAAGGGTCCCAGGCTCTATTCCATTCAAGGGCACATGCCTGGGTTGTGGGTTAGATCCCTAGTAGCGGGCCATGAAGGAGGCAGCCAATCAATGATTCTCTCATCATTGATGTTTCCATCACTCCCTTTCCCTTCCTCTCTGAAATCAATTATTTTTATACACACACACACACAAAAGAAAAAAGTCTGTTACTTTTACTGATGGTGAGTTTGCTGTTTTATTGACAATGCATCTGGATAGAGTTTTTCCTGTCTTAAGCTCCAAATCAAATCAGCTATTGGTATTCATGAAGCCTGTCATCCTTTACAAAAACTGTAAGGTTTTGAACTAGCTTGGGGGTAGTGGGAGGATAGGAGCAATCTCCTAGAATCATGGTCGGCAAACTGCGGCTCGTGAGCCACATGCGGCTCTTTGGCCCCTTGAGTGTGTGGCTCTTCCTAAGCCTTAGGAGTACCCTAATTAAGTTAATAACAATGTACCTACCTATATAGTTTAAGTTTAAAAAATGTGGCTCTCAAAAGAAATTTCAGTTGTTGTACTGTTGATATTTGGCTCTGTTGACTAATGAGTTTGCCGACCACTGTCCTAGAACATCACAGATTGCCATATATTGTCTATTTCATATGACACAGATCACATATTCATATATATCATATATGATATATATGAAAAATGTGGTCTCTTCATAATTATTGCATAGAGTTAGGATCTTTAAGGGCAGGTGTATAAATTACAGACCAAATTACAAATCCTGCCCACTTCCTGCTTTGTAAATAAAGTTTTACTGTAACAGCCACTCTCATTTATATATATATATATTTTGTGGCTATTACAAGTAGTTGTGAGAGTTTGTATGGCCTACGAAAAGTTCGCTGACCTTTGCTTCAGAGTATTATCATCATAACATTATAATTTTCATTATAAGTAACACTATTACTTTAGTGTGGTTTTTTTTTATTGATTTTTTTTTACAGAGAGGAAGGGAGAGAGATAGTTAGAAACATCGATCAGCTGCCTCCTGCACATCTCCTACTAGGGATGTGCCAGCAACCCAGGTACATGCCCTTGACCGAAATCGAACCTGGGACCTTTCAGTCCACAGGCCCACACTCTATCCACTGAGCCAAACCGGTTTTGGCCTACTTTAGTGTTTTTAATTTCACATTTATCCTTATGTTTGTTTTCTTAATAACCTAATGTGGCAAGCTGAATAGATAGTAAATTATCATCAGATTTCAAAAACTAATGGCTAGCTTGCATAAGTATAACATATAAATTATAATTTAAATTAAGTATTCAAAATTAATATTTTAATCTAATAATCTAACAGTCCTAAAATTTAACAACAGAATACAAACAGTTCAATACATTAATTTTATTTTGGCCTTAAATAACATTAATTCTAACAATATCTTTCTACATTCACTTTTGCCTCCATCTTGCCTGCTCTTGCATGACCAAAATACTGCAAAGTCTTAGATGTGAAAAATGCACATTTTTTTCCTTTGACATTCTGAAATTTCATTTAACTCTTAGTTTACATTTAAACAGGGAATGTTTAAATTGTTTAATACTAAACACTTTATGCAGCAATGTTCTTAGTACAACATATTTTACCTGCTAGAAGAGACATTCAGTGTTCTTTGTTGATTAATATGTCTGTGGATTGAAGAAAAGGGAGAGAGGTGTTCTGGAAATGTGTCTTCTCCTTGGCGTGTTAAAGATAGGCCAACAAATGCTTCACTTAGCATATCCCCTCTGTCTAAAGGCCCCAGGAGTTCTGTTAAAAAACGATAAGACATGAGTCAAATACAGATAGTTCCCTTGAGTATGATTACAGGAAAGCTTCTATATGCCCCAATGAAACGTAAAAAAAATAAATAAAAAAATGGCAATTTACTGTGTAGTGCACAGCGGAAAACATATAGTCACATCTCCTATTACTTTTGTCATTCTTACACTTAGTTCAATCGGGTTTCTGATAACTGACTAACGAATGTTTTTTGAATTCACATTTAAAAAATTTGCAACAGCATGGATGGAACTGGAGAGCATTATGCTAAGTGAAATAAGCCAGTCAATGAAAGAAAAATACCACATGATGTCACTCATTTATGGATAATAAAGACCATTATAAACTGATGAACAAAAATAGATACAGAGGCAGAAGAGCATCGAACAGACTGTCAAACTACAGCAGGAAGGCCTGGGAGGTTTGGGAGGGGGTGGTAAGAGATTAACCGAAGGACTTGTATGCATGCATATAAGCATAACCAATGGACACAAGACACAGGGGGGTAGGGGAGGCCGGGAGAATGTCAAGGGGGGAAAAAAAGGAGACATATGTAATACTCTTTGTAATACTTTAAGCAATAAAACAAAATAAAAAAATAAAAAATTCATTTCTAACTTGATTATTCATAGTGTATCTTTTGTTCTGAGGTGGGTCTCTTGCAGACAGCATATATATGGGTTGTTTTCTTAGCCATTCAGCTACCCTGTATCTTTTGATTGGAGCATATAATTTGTTCACATTTAAAGTGATTATTGATAGGTACATATTTATTATCATTTTATTCTTTACACCTATCTCCTCAATTTGTTTTCCTTAAAGAAGGCCCTTTAACATTTTTTGCAATATTTGTTTGGTGGTAATGAACTTCTTTAGCTTATATTTGTCTGGGAAACTCTTTATTTTGTCTTCAATTTTAAATGATAGCTTTGCTATGAATAAGTAGTCTTGGTTGTAGGTTCTTGCTTTTCATCACTTTGACTATTTCATGCCAATCCCTTCTAGCCTGAAATGTTTCTGTTGAAAAGTCACCTGACAGTCTTATGGGAACTCCTTTGTAGGTAACTGTCATTCTCTTGCTGCTCTTAAGATTCTCTCTTTACCTTTAGCCTTTGCAGTTTTAATTATGATGTGTCTTGGTGTGGGCCTCTTTGGGTTCATCTTGTTTGGGACTCTCTGTGTTTCCTGGGCTTATGTGACTTTTCCCTTTAACCAGGTTAGGAAAATTTTCAGTCATTGTTTCTTCAAGTAGGTTCTCAATCCCTAACTCTCATTTACATATTTCAGAGGCACAAATGGAAGTCCAAACAACCTAGATGCACACTATGGGTGCTACTTTCCATTGTCATATACTCATGTGTTAGACCCAAAGAGGGTATTTTTCACTACAGTGATTGTGAAAAGTGAAACAAGTGCCCAGCTGGTGCGGCTCAGCAGTTGAGTGTCGACCCAGGAACCCAAAGGTCATGGGTTTGATTCCCAGTCAGAAAACATGCCTGGGTTGTGGGCTCAATCCCCAGTAGGGGTTGTACAGGAGGCAGCCAATCAATGATTTTTCTCTCTCATTGTTGTTTCTATCTCTCTGTCCCTCTCTCTTCCAAAAAAAAAAAAAACCAAAAAAAAAACACCAGTAAAAACATATTTAAAAAAGTGAAGCAAGCATCCTTTTACTTGTGAATCTGTTAGAAGAGGGTTGGCTTGCATTCATATTTGCAATCATGAAATCCATCATACATAATGAAGGATTAATGTTGAGATTTCTTTTCCATGCAAATGTAAGTACTTTCTCATATGTATATGTATACATATACAGGGTGTCCCCAAAAATGTATACACACTTTAAATAATTATTAGTTCCAATGATTTCAATCTGAAAAGAAAGAAACATCAGTTGAACTATTAGTCATTAAGTGTGTATACATTTTTTGGGACACTCTATATATCTGTAAGTTTCTTCTTGCCTTTTGTTAGTGCATAAATCAATGGCATAGTATAGCCCAATACTACATCGTACACAATAAATAACCGAGTGAACTGTCTTGGTGCCATCACTGAATAATGTGGTACTAACACTTAAGTATCTAACATTGTTATATTTTGTGTAAGAATTCTTTCATCATCTTGAGCACTGGAAAACCATAAGAAATAGTTTTCCGCGTCTGGTCACTTTATACTCTGCTGGAATTGAATTTAATGCAGTGGAGCTGGGTTTGGAGATTGATGTCTGATTTGAATTCTATTTACTTGCATCTTTAATAAGTTTCTTTCTGGTAGCACTAGCAGGACCTCTTCATCATGAATATAACAGTGAGTTCTTTGAAGTAACTGTGATGCTGCTGCATTTGTTTCTTTTCTGCATGTCATTTTAACCTACTCAGTGTTTTCCTAACTACCCCATCAATATCAACATAGTGCTGATGTTTTCCTGTCACATCTTTAATGACTGTAATGTTATCCACATCCTAACGAGTTGTACTTTGGGCAGTGCAGATTCTCCTCTGTTAGTACCTTTATTCCTACCTCTGTTAAAGGGATGGAAATGGTAACAAAAACCATTGTAAGGTAGCATTGGCTGTGTGTGTGTGTGTGTGTGTGTGTGTGTGTGTGTGTGTGTATCCTACTTCTGCCACATTCCACCATGATTTTCAAGTAAAGATGTTATATTGCCAAGCAAAAGAAGGGTTGCTATTTTTCTTCTGTAGCCATCTGCCCAATGGGTGCTGGTTTATTGGTAGGCGAAACATCACTAATGTCTTATGGATTTGACACCAGTTGGGAAGGACTGGATCAGCCAGTAGGTGAAACCAGCCAAGGGTGTGGGGGTCCCTGACTACTGGCAGGTAAGTGTGGAAGTCACACCCACTAAAACCCTCTCCAGTAATTTGTGGCAGATGCTTCCTGCCTTCTACTGCAATTGTACCTCTGTAGGACATTGATTCAAGGGAAACATCATCCATTAACCCTGGGTGATGGGATAGTTATAGGATATTTAATACCCGCATAACCCCTCATTGTGGTCACTACACCTGACTGCTATGTGGCAGGAGAGCCACACCCATTCTCACTCCTGAACAAATAGGACGGTCTGTAAAATGCTTATGTCAACACATTTACCATCCCTTTTACTTGGCAGCTTGACTTAGCTCCTCCTTCCAAATTCCACCCTCACTGAATGACCCAGACATATCCCACCAAATGCACATGACATAATACACCATGCATTGTGAGATCCCATTCTCGACGTGTCATCCCCTATGCCTTTCTCTAACTGTAGGATTCTTGCTGTGTATGCATAGTTAATATAAATCCTTCTCTTTTGCAATATTTGAATCCAGACCTATCTACCTAACCCCATGTGCCATTACCAGCTAGGCTACCAAGGCAAGAAGGGGTATTATTGGCAATATATAGCCATAACATGATTATTGGACCAATAAAACATGATAGTATTTTTTTATTGAGGGGAGAGAGAGAGAGAGAGAGAGAGAGACAGAGAGAGAGAGAGAGAGAGAGAGAGAGATCTGTTGTTACACCTTTTTATGCATTCATTGGTTGATTCTTGTTATGTGTCTTGATTGGGGATCAAACCCACAATCTTGGCTATCGGGATGATGCTCCAACCAACTGAGCTAACCAGCCAGGGCCATGATGGCATTTTTTATGTACTAATTTTGTAAACCAAAAGCATAAACAAACATTATGAGCTATTTGAACCGAGGGGTGTTTTCTAAGTGTGGACATCTTTGACAGCGCCAAATCTCAAGGACCATTTGGCATGAACCCAATATGCTCATTGATGTTTTTGATAGGGACAAATTTCAAGGACCTTTCAATGTGGACCAAATGTCTCAATGGACAGTTTGGACACACCAAATGTCTGCTAATCTCTATTTAGTAGCAAAAGAATCAAGGTTCATATCTGGTATGTCTGGCTCAAAGCCAATACTGTTCCATTTCTTCAAATAGCCCAAAGAAAAAGAAGAGAAATGAGCTAAGAGAACTTACTGCTTTTATACATTTGTCTTCTGAAATAAATGGCACTATTTCCCTGGTGATCTTATACATTATTCTTTAAATCTAGCTATTCTTTTGTTGGCTTTGTGCATTCTAAGGAGATATCCTTTCCAGTCTAAAATCTCCAAAGGATTTTCAGGGTAAAACACATTTCAAGATATGCAATCACATGGAAGAATGAAAATCTTTTATAATATTGTTTGCAAAAATGACAGCTCTACTTAACAGAAGCCATTAAAATATTTACAAAGTAGCAGCTGCTCTTGTAAAAAAAATATGGCTTTTTGGAGGCATAAAAATAAACAAGTTGATAAGTACAAGATAAGCCATTTGTCAGCTTCTTTGTGTACATAGCACAATATATAAAAAATTCTGATATTTACAGAGCAATTATAATATAAAGCCTTTTTAAGTTAAAAGGACACAGACTCAGTGAGAACTGTTTACAAGAATTCTTCACACTGATCTTTTAAACAATTTAGGAAGCCCCCAAACATAATTCTTTAAGAGATGTTAGGTTTTAGATGTGTTTTTAAAAAATAAGTCTTGTTCTTAAAGATAATTTTACATTTTATATGTGTATATATAAAATTCTCTATTCAATTTGCATTCTTCATTGAACTAGAATTTCAGCCAGTGGTTTTATGAAAATAATTACAAATCATAGGAAACAGATCAAGAAAACCAAAATGGTTTAAAGTAACTGAACATTTATATTTTTATTAACAATTTCACATTTTGTAGATAACTGAGTGGCTGACTTTGTCTTTTTAAAAACAAATCATTTAAAAAAGCAAACAATTATTAAAATCTGCATTGTTGGTAATTTTTACTAGTTTTCTCAAAAGAGAGCAATGATATGCAATTATTACAACCCTAGATTATTTATGAAGAAAGTGAAAAATATAAGAAAGTAGCTTTTGGCAAAATCTTGATAGTTACATGGAAGAGTGACTTTGGACATGTTCCTGTGA